GCCCGCATCTCGCTCTGCATGCTGGCGAAGAAGTGCAGCACGCAGCGGTGCGCGAAGTCCCGCGCATGCTCACAGCACGTCTCGTCGAAGAGCTTCTGCTCCAGGTCCATGTAGTTGCTCCAGTATCTGCGCTGCAGGAAGACCGTCTGGTCGAAGCAGGGCCTCAGGCAGCGGGCCAGGAAGGCCGCCACGATCAGCAGCAGGGTGATGCTCCAGCCAATGGCCTGGGGGCGGGGGGTGGGGGTGGGGACGGACAATGAGGTTAGGTGTGGGCGGGGCACAGCGCTGAATGGGGCGGCAAGCACAGGTGTTCAGTCTCTTCCTTTATCTCTTCCATCCTTCCTCAGATATATTTATCTTCCTATTTAGTCATCCATCCAACCAACAACCTCCATCCATCCTCCCTTCAATATCATCTCATCCTTGCATCCATTCATTTCCCCAGCTATCTCTCCCCCCACAACCATCCAGTCATCCATCCTCCCATATGACTACATATCTATTATATTCCTATTCAGACATCCTCTCAACCATCTTTCCACCTGTCCATCCATCATCCATCTTCCTATCCAGCCACCTATTCTCCCATCCATTCCCGTTCTGATACTCTCATCCTTCCTTCAATTTGCTATCCTAACCATTCATGTACCCACCATTCATCCTCCCAACTTTTCTTCTGGAAATCAGAATAGATCACTCTAAAGTAGGCCTCTTGGACATAAAATTATTTTGAGCTGAAGAAAATTAAGAAGCAGCAAACATAGGAGAAGCTCTTTCTACCTTCTCCCTTTCTGCCTAAAGGCAAGATATAAATTCTCCTTTTACTGGAGACAGACTCTTATCAGCCCAGAGGCAGCACCAGAGGAATGTGCGAACAAACCTTACTCTATTGGTAAGGAGTAAGAAACTCCATGCTTCCTCTCATGTATTTACCTTCCCACAGTTTCTGCCCTTGGAAGCCTAAAACCGCTTTCCTTTGTCCTGTCATTTCTCTACAAAGATACTACTCTTTGCTGAAGGTGCTATATAAGCCGGAATTCTAAGCCACCACTTTGAGTTACTCTTTGGTTTAGGTTTCTCCCGCGTGGTGTCCACTGCACATGTTAATAAACTGTTTTCCTTTTGTTAATTTTTTTTTGTTAGCATCTCAGCTGAAAACCTAAGGTGGGAAGAAGTAAAGTTTTGCCTTCCCTACACTCCATCCATCAATCCATCCATCATCCTTTCATTTTTTATTCAGTGCTCCATCTATCCTCACATATATTTATCCACCCTGTCTATGCATCCATCTATTCTATATTTTGGGGGGAGCACTGGGGACCCAGTCTTTTCTCTCAGAGAGCTCACACTTAAGTGGAGGAAAAACAACTAGTAGACGATGACTGGCTATGTGCCATGTTAAGGGATGTACAGGGAGTCATGGGAATTTGCCCAACCTGAACTGGAGGGCTCAGGGGACAGTGAGGTTTAGGCTGAGACCGGAAGGATTAGTAACAGTTGTGCAGGATCCAAACAGGGAACAGTGTTCCAGGCCAAGAGTGAGAAACCATTAGAGGCAGTTGTCTAAGGCTAGAGCGTCTCCCTCCTCTCTGCCCATCCATAGCGACAGTCTCTTCAAGGCCTGGCTTCAAACCAGAGCAATTGTGTGGACCTGGAACCGAAAATTCACTCCTCTCACACAAAGACTTATTTGAATTCTTATCATTTGTAGATGTGATTTACAATCCCTCTTTTGGCCTCTCACAGAATCCTCCCCGCTTACCAGTGTAAAATACTGTGTGAGTATTTTACATTCTAGGAGCATTTAATGTGCCTGATAAACGTACAGCTGCGGAGTGAGGACTCCAACCCTGGTCTGATGGAAAATTCTACACTCTTTCCAAGGAGCTGGTGAAGCCTAGAGTGTGTCAGCCTGCAGGGACCATCAAGTGAAGGAGACCAAACTTCCCTTGATTTCGCAGGAGAAACCAAGGCCCAGAGGGAGAGTGACAGGGCCAAGGCCACAGCCTGAAGCAGAATCAGTGCATCCTGAGCACTGGTCCTCTCTGCCCTGCCCCACGGGCCTGCATCTGCCACCAGCCGGTCTCAGCTCCACAGAGGGCTGGGGTCATGTTTTTATTCTCTGTGGCCCCAGGGATACTGGGCATGTATAGGTTCAGGTAAATTCTTTTTGGAGGACACAGCCGAGCCTGAGGCTCTGGGAGTGGAGGTGGTAGAATCTGGAGTCTGGGCTGGGGTTTGTTCCCAGGATAATGGAGTTGATACCCTGTGGGGAGCCAGGCACCTAGGGAGAACCTGCATTGTATGGAGGTGGTTAAGAGGGTCAGGAGTTACAGTGTGCATTGTGCATCCAGATCCCTGTCCTGCCTCTTCCAAGCGGTGTGACTTTGGCCTAGTGAGCTAAACTCTCAGAGCCTCCACTTCCTCATCTGTGAAATGGGATGATAGTGACTGCATCCACCTCCTGGGGTTGTTCTGAGAATTAAATGAAAGAATGAATATGAAATGCTTAACACAGTGCCTGACACATAAGTGCTCAATAAAGGGGAATTCGATCCCTGTCCTGCCTCTTCCAAGCGGTGTGACTTTGGCCTAGTGAGCTAAACTCTCAGAGCCTCCACTTCCTCATCTGTGAAATGGGATGATAGTGACTGCATCCACCTCCTGGGGTTGTTCTGAGAATTAAATGAAAGAATGAATATGAAATGCTTAACACAGTGCCTGACACATAAGTGCTCAATAGAAGGTAATTCGTATTATTTCTGAGGGATGGGAAGAATGTGTGTGGGGGGTGGACAGAACAGTCTATCCCCAGTGCTTTCTGCCATCCAGCCCCCTGAGGACGGGCCTAGCTGACTCCCAGAGGATATGGGTACCTGGTCTCTGTCCTGGGGTGAGTCAGCATTGATGACCAAGTGCCCACTTCCTAGGGCCCAACACTGTTCTGTACATGTGTCAAGCTCCTGATCCCCCTGGGGACCACCTGCTCCTTGGTTGTGTCTCCAGCAGTAGGGAGGGGCTTCAGGCCGTCACCTGTACCCCCTCACCCCTCGGAACCCATGCAGGATAATGGGAGGCTTCTAGGGAGAGGACCGTCCACATTACCTGTGACAGGCACCGCAGGTAGCGAGACACTGCCTTTCGAGCAGGGCTGTCCCTGACCAGCTCATCCTCCTTGCAGGGCACCTTGGCCAGGAAGAGCTGAACCTGGCTGGGGGTCATGTTGGCAAAGTCCAGAAACTTCTCAGGGTCCACGGAGCTGCTGAAGGCACACACGAAGCACTTCCCATCAAGGAGGGCCAGCAGGATCCAGAGAAGGGGGGCAGCCAGCGCTCTCTGCAACACAGAGGAGCACATGTACCTGGGAGCAGAGGAAAGGGGGGTGGGTCACAAAGGGCAGCTGGAATTCAGCTGAAGCAGGAAGGCTACAGGAGATGCAAAGATGGACTTCCCAGGAGGGCTGGGAAATACTAGTCGTAGTTACACCAAAGGAATGGCTGCAGCTTCCACTGCAGGGGTGCCAGCGGCAGAGGGCAAGGAGGAAGGAGGGCTGGGGGCCCTGGGAGTCCCAGGACTGCAACACTGGGGAGCTGGGGCTCTTCCTGCTCTGGGCCTGGTAGCAGACTCTGCTGGAGGATAGTTCCTATTCACATGGAGGCCAGAGGGCCTCCGCCTCAGCCCCCTCAACCACTTGCATGGCTCTGCCTGAGGGCTAGGCTGCAAGCGATAGAAAGTTCACAATCCCCAATTCAACCTTCAACCCAAGAGGGATGGGGCCTGGTGGATAAACACCCCATCTTCCTAGACCCTCAGTGCGCCATTTCTGAGGTGTGTCCCACACACTCTCTTAGAGGGTCCCCAGTAGGGCCGAATTCCAGTTCCCTATTCATTATCACATTCTTCCCAGAGCCTGCTTTCAATCAAAACATTTCTATATGTGACACGGCACCAGAGTTAAGTTAGGGTTTTTCAAAATGCTGACACGCTGAGCTCAAAAGGTTCGCCATCACTGTCCTAGACCCTCAGTGCGCCATTTCTGAGGTGTGTCCTACACACTCTCTTAGAGGGTCCCCAGTAGGGCTGAACTCCAGTTGCCTATTCATTATCACATTCTTCCCAGAGCCTGCTTTCGAGGGAAGCCTAAACTCAGACAGCCCTGCCCAATGTCCCTCCCAGACGTAGCACCTCCAACACCTCTCCTAGCATCCAGGGAGCCCACTCTCTGACTGTCCAGGTGTCTCTCCTGACCCACTCCACTCCTCTCTGGCCTGCATGGGGTGTTGGTCCCAGGGTAGGAGCCTAGTGGCGCTGCAACCACTGACTCCCAGAGGAAGAGGTCATGGGCATGCCCAGTGTATGTGACCCTCTCTGTGTGGCTGGATGACAGGGAGCACAGAGCCCCTGAGGAACACGAAATAGTGGCTGCTTGTGCACAGGATGCAGATGTCTCTAACTTGCTCTGTAACAAACATAAAATGATGTATGCTGTGTGTGTGTGTGTGTGTGTGTGTGTGCGTGTGCTCGCGTGTGCATGGCCTGCCCAGCAGAGAATTATAAATACGCTGTAGGCAGGGGCAGCTCCAGCATTTTCTTCGGGGGCAGTGTAGTCAGAAGGTGGAACTGAGAGCTTCTCATGACATTGCCTTACATACCCTTGAGGACACCTCAATGGTCCATGCCAAAGCATAGGGCAGAGAGGAGATCATGAGCGGGCGAAAACTCACCAAGCTCCTCCCGCCACTGCCCATGGGTCTAGAGCACTTAGACGTTTTGTTGAAAACACACAGGGCAGCGGAGTGAGCTGTGCTTCTTCCTACCTGTGGGAGCTCAGCTGAGTTACTAAACTTCTCTGTGCCTCAGGCCCCTCATCCTTAGACATGGACCCTAATAGGAACAGACCCAGGGCCGAGGTGAGAATCCAGAGGCCGTGCACACACAGTGCTTGGCACAGGGCTTGGCACCAAGGCGATGTTTAGTGTTGACCAGGGAGCAATTCAAATTGCTAAACTCCATCAACTGGTTTTGACAGAGGGCACCCACCAGGTGGGAGGCTCTAAGGACAGTAGAGCTGCCCTGGGGAGTGTATGGGAGAGGGAGGCAGCCTTTAAGCCAAGCATGCCGCTCACTACAGGCAGAGCCCCTATGCATGTCAGGGGATGGCCCTTCACACGTGTGGTGAGGTATAATCCATGGCAGCGTGATCGATGTGACCTGGGAAATTATGGGGAATTCTGGATCATTCATGTGTCTCTAGCACTGGCCACAGAAGGGAGACAAATGACAGGAACAGAAATGTCTGTTCCCAGAGTGGAAACTACAAATGGGTCTGGTGAGCTGATGATGCTTTAGTTGGGGAAAGGAGGGGGCACATGTGAGAGTGCCTGGAGTGGGGGGGCAGGTGAGGAGCCCTGACAACACCCATGGGAGTGATTGGGGTTTGGCAGAAGGGAGACAAATGACAGGAACAGAAATGTCTGTTTCCAGAGTGGAAACTGCAAATGGGTCTGGTGAGCTGATGATGCTTTCGTTGAGGAAAGGAGGGGGCACATGTGAGAGTGCCTGGAGGGGGGGCAGGTGAGGAGCCCTGACAACACCCATGGGGGTTATGGGGGTTTGAGGGTCACCTAGCAGTGTTTGTGTGGGTGGGGAGCCTGACAATGCCCATGGGGGAAGGGTAGGGTTTGGGGGTGTCCCTGACAATTTCTGTGCCGGTGGGGAGCCTGAGAATGCCCATGGGGAAGGTCAGAGTTTGGGGTGTCCCTGGCAGTGCCTGTGCAGGCGAGGGCGGGGCCTGACAATGCCCACAGGCCTCTGGGTGGTATGGGACCGCACACCTGATGATGCCTGGGTCCTTCCTCCGGTGCCCCGCGGGCCGGCGCCACTCCTCAACCATCACCACGGACTGCCGGTTGGCAAGGAGGCCGCAGAGGAAGAGGACGAGCGGGGGTGTGAACAGAAGGCCCAGGCCGTAGAGGGTGTTGTAGCGCGCCAGGCAGGGGCAGTTGAAGTCGAAGGAGGAGTACAGCTTGACAGTGACCACGGCCAGCACCAGGCAGACGCCGTTCATCACCGACTCAGAGCTGGACTGGAAGTGCTGGAAGAGCATGCGGAACTTATCCATGGCTCCCGCCTGGTGGGTGTGGGCAGTGAGGCCTCAGCCGCCTTCCTGGCCAGTGCTGGGGGTGAGTCCGATCCCCAGGAGGTTCTTCTCTTCCAAGAACCTCCAGCTCTCCACGAAGGCTCGGATGCCCAGTGATTGTCCCCAGTGCCGCTCGCTCTCCTCTCTGGGGAGTGAGTCACTGCTCTGTGACCAGCCAGCCCAAAGCACCTCTAGGCAAATGTGCCCTGCGCTGTCACCCATCCCTCCCCTGCCCGTTCCCTCCTCTCTTCACGGTGTGGATACTGATGCCTGACAGCTGGCAGGGTGTCCGGTGAGGTCAGGCAAATTCTGGGTGTGGTAAGGCCAAGACACAGATGGAGCCAATGATGTTTTCTGGTCTCGGTCAAAAACATGATTTGATTCAGCTGAGCCGGGGGAGTGTTCATGTTGGCTTTTGTGCCGGGAGGGGTACCTCCTCTTGCCTGAAGGTTTCCTGGAAGAGAAAGCCCTGGAGAAGAGTTTAAGCCATGTTTCAGCGTTTGCCAACGAAAGGCTTTGGACAGAGAGGGCCTTCCAGGCAGAGGAACGCATGGGCAACGGCACGGAGGTGAGAAGCAGTCCGGTGTGGCCGGCGGTATGGGGTTGCTGGAAGGTAGTGGCAGACAGTGGGCATCAGGAGTGGGGCTGGAGGGTCAGGGGTGCCCGCAGCCCTCCGCTCCCCTATATTCTGCTGCTCTCGGGGCCGGGTTTCCCCAACGCACAGCTTCCACTACTCACTCCCCCCGTGTGACCGCGGCTCTCTCAGCCTCCTTGGCTTGGCATCCAAGGCCCTCCTAACTGTACTCACATGCGTCTTCCCACCTCCACTGAACACCTGTGTCCCTTCTTCCCACCTGCTCTTCAAGAGGCAGCTCAAATGCAGCCCTGTTGCTAAGCCACCCCTGGTGATCTCAGTCTGTGGGGGCCTTGATCAGCCGCCTGATCCTGGGAAAGGCCGCCTCGGCCTCTGAGGAATCTTTCCTAGTGTGGGGACTTGGACCTGCATTTTGCTCTCTGCAACATGCAGTGTGGCGCTAAACATGCAGCAAGGGACAGCGAATGCTCGTTTTTCATGATGTTGGCACTCAGACCCTGTCTCTAGCTCTGTCTTCCCTGTCCACCCCCTGGCCTGTCCTCGTGGCCCTGTCTGGTCCTAGGAAGCCAATGAGTGGAACGTGGGTCCTGCCCTTAATTTCTCTCTGCCTCTCTCTCTGTCCCTTTCTCTCTCTCCCCTTCATTCTGTCCCCCTTTCTGCCTCTCTAATGACCTTTTTGTGTGTGTGCATGCACAGTTAACTTGCTGTGTCCCTCTGTCTGTCTCTCTCTGTGTAGCTACCTCTTCCTGTCTTTCTACCTTTTCCTCCTCCTCCCCTGCTTTCCACCCCATAGCATCCCTGTCTTACTGGCCCCAGGCCTCCCATTGGCTACCTGGCTTGGGGAAGGGAGAGGAGGCATCTACAGGGGTGATGTGAGCCCTGGGGTCACAGATCAGTGGGCCTTGGACCTGGAGCATGGGGTGGGGGGCAGTGAGGTGTCCAGGCCCCAACCATGGAGGCTCTTCCTCAATCTTCATCCTCTGGCTACCTCACTGCCAGCCCAGGGCCACGCTGAGACAAGTAAAACCTCAGGGATTCGGATGGCCTTGACCGCACTGACCCCCTACCCCGTCCAGCCTGGACCTGCTGGCATCCTGGATCCAAGCGATGGTTTTAGTTAAATGTGTGTGTCCGCACTGTAGTCCTTTCCCCAGACCCTGGGTCCTCATGGTCATGAGTTCAGCTTCTTCCCAACCCCCTAGCAGTGGTCGGCAAACTGCGGCTCATGAGCCACATGCGGCTCTTTGGCCCCTTGAGTGTGGCTCTTCCTAAGCCTTAGGAGTACCCTAATTAAGTTAATAACAATGTACCTACCTATATAGTTTAAGTTTAAAAAATTTGGTTATCAAAAGAAATTTCAATCGTACTGTTGATATTTGGCTCTGTTGACTAATGAGTTTGCCGACCACTGCCCTAGAGCAGTGAGGACAGCGTCCTGAATCCTCCCCATCCGCAGAGGCCCGGCTCCGAGCTGTTACCTCCACAAAGTTCACCAGACCTCTGACTAATGAGTTTGCCGACCACTGGACTAGAGCAGTGAGGACAGCATCCTGAATCCTCCCCATCTGCAGAGGCCCGGCTCTGAGCTGTTACCTCCACAAAGTTCACCAGGACCTTTGCCTCTGCACCGACTACCCTTGTGTCCATATTCCCAAACGCCTTTTAGAAAATGGAAATATCCCCATTTTCCTGATTAAACACACCACTATGAAAAATGTAAATATAGGGAACATGAAAGTGTCCCGGTCAGAGCAATCCCCAGAGAGTCTTCCTGTTACTGCAAGGTGTGTGTCCTCCCAGATTTCTCCAGGGCCCACAGGGACACTCGCCGGCTGGCCTGCCTGGCGTTCCTTGGGAGAATCGTTAACCACTGTTAACGAACCACCGGGTGCCCAGGGGAGAGGCAGCTCAGGACGCCTGTGTGACTTTCCATCGGAGGCGTGTCTGTCCTTCTCTTTACACTCGTCACACAGGTCTCTCACTGTGTCTCAGTTTCAGCTTTTCTGAAGGGTGACAGCCCAGCTGGTTGAGGGACAACCAGGACCTGCAAAATAAAATGTGGGTAGGTCCCTTAGCCTGTATTTTAAGTCACACCATTCCAAATATGACCTGCAAAGTTCGTCACGGTCGGTGCCGTTTATACCTCTGATGGGGTAGCAATAGAGAGAAATCTGTCTGTTGTATTGCTTTGTATTTTACCTAAGACTGGACTCCCTGCATCAGGGGAGATGGGGAGGGAGCCAGAGAGGGCAAGAGAGCCATCAGAGGCAGGCAGGTGTGACTGCGTGGAGGAGAGGGTGGGCCTTTGAGGAGAAACCCTCCAAGCTCATTCATTCTCCGGGGCTCCTCCGGAAAGCACAGAACCACCACTGCCAACTGCGAGAAACCCTCCAAGCTCATTCATTCTCCGGGGCTCCTACAGAACCACCACTGCCAACTGCCACGTTCTTCAGGGGAGGCTGGTGCCAGGCAGAGTGGGCACAGCCTGGTGGGCACAGAGCCAGGAAGGAACACAGGATTCTCCTTCTGTGCCTTCCAGCCTCAGGCGCCTGCTGAATGGCTGACAGGAAAGGGATCTGTCCTGGCCCCAGACCATGCTTCTGAACCCTGAAACACAGGGCCTCTGGGGCAGAGAGTGGAGAGAACAGGGCGGGCACCTCTCTCCCATGCTAGTCTCAGGGGAGTCTCCAGAAAAGAAGACAGTAAGAAACTGGGGCAAGGTCTCTCCCAGGCCAGCTGTTCACAGCTCCACCTCTGACAGGTGAGACAGAGCTCCCAGGTCAGCCTGCGGCCCTGGCCCGGTAGCGGGTGTGTGCTGTGTGACTGCACTGGCCCCTGCTAAGACTTTACTGGAAAACACTCAAAACAACGAGTCAAGAAGGAAGCCCACCACACCTTAAAGAAATACCTCAAGGTGAGGGCTGGCCTCACATGGACAAATCTGTATTTTCTACTTTCATAATAATGATTTAAAAAATATTTCCAATAAAAATCATAAAATATTTTTACTGGGAAAAAAATCAAAGGGATTAAGGAACAAAGTAAAAGGGGCGGGGATTACATTTGTTGCCTAGAGCCCTGGACCAGCTGAACCAGGAGAAACAGAGGAAAGAAAAGGAGAACTCTGGCCGGGTAGCTCAGTTGGTTAGAGCATCGTTCCTATACGCCAAGGTTGTAGGTTTGATCCCCAGTCAGGGTACATACACGAATTAACCCTCCCCCCACTCCTCTCTCTCCCCTCCCTCCTTCCCTTCCACTCTCTCCAAAAATCAATGAAAAAAATATCCTTGGATGAGGATTAACAACAACAAACAAAAAAAGAGGAGAAAACTGTTTTACTCATGTGTGTGGAGAGATATTACCATGTACATCTGCTGCATGATAATATCTTAAGTCAGACTTTCCCAATCCCCTGTCCCATCCCAGGGGTCTGCAGCTATGTCCTTGGGGGTCTTTTAATTCTGGGGAAATTTTTAAAAAATCACCACCCTAGGATATTCTTTCCGTTTATTGGAAGGGAGGGAGAGAGGAAGAGAGGAAGAGCAAAAGAGGAGAGAGAGAGAGAGAGAGAGAGAGAGAGAGAGAGGGGGAGGCATCGATGTGAGAGACACATTGAACCTGAGACCCTTTGCTGTGCAGGACAATGCTCTAACCACTAAACAGCATCAGCCAGAGCTCTGGGGAAATTTTTTTAATTCACATTTTATTTTAATGATGACAAATCTTTTTAACAGTTTTAAACATGTATTAACAAGCAATCGGAATATTTTTATAGAATAAGCCTTCGTTTTCTTTTTCTCCAATTGAGGTATTGTGGATAGATGCTTGGGGGTCTTCTAGCTTTTTTTCCCTTTAAAAGGAATCTGGATGCTATGTGAGAAACACTGGCGGTACCATCCTTGGAGTTCCTGTGATTGAGAGGGTTCTTTAGGCCTGGGTGCCCCCTACTGGAGAAACTCAGAGTATTTGATGTGTGAGTGGGGTGTGTGTAGGATGTGTATAACTGTGTGTCTTCAGAAATACAGGTGTGGTTGTGTCTCTTCTTTCTATATAGTGAGCACACTCTACCCTGAGGTGTCTCTCTCTCTTTCTCTCTCTCTCTCTCTCTCTCTCTCTCTTCTTTCAAAAGGAAGACATTGAATAGGTGTCCCCCTTCTCTTTCAGGACTGGGAGGCTTTTGTCCCCTCTTGTCTAGCAGAGCAGTGGTGCTCGCTCTGTCTCTGAGAGACCTGGCTTTCTTTCATCCTCATGACAGAAGCCTCTGCAGGATCTGTGTGACAGGCCTTGCTCGTCTGTCTCTGGCAGACCTGGGGGAAAGCAAGATGGATTCCACTCTGGTGTCTATATAGAGCAGGGGTGGGGATCCTTTATTCTGCCGAGGGCCATTTGGATATTTATAACATCATTTGCGGGCCATACAAAATTATCAACTTAAAAATCTGCCTGCGGGCCCAGCCAGCGTGGCTCAGTGGTTGAGT